ACTTTAAGAAAATATTTTCTCTGAAGCTGCAAGGATTAACAGTTTTTTTCCTTTCAGCTGTTTAAGTGTAAGTTTTAATACTTGATTCTGCTTTGAGATTGCACTCAAGATAAATTTTAAATTAAAGATTTAATATGTACAGAACTTGATAAATGGCAGAATGTTTTGCTATGGCCAGTCTTGCCATAAAAGTGTCGCTGGGACAAAGGAATGAGACAGATAAGACTAACAGGAAATGAGAGCCTAACTAACTTGCCTTACATTAACTTCAATTACTAAGGGGTAAAAGCAACGTCTTTTGTGAGTCTGACCTGAGGCTTTTGCAATAAAGCATAATTTGTAGGATGGATGAGGAAAAGAAATTCCTCCAAGCTCCCTTTTAAGGGGAGGAAACCTTGGGAAGGACCCTTACACAGAAAGCCTTTGAGCCCGAGGGAAGCAGAGAGAGAGAGGGAAGAAAAGCAGTGAGGTGGAAAAGCATACACTGAGCATGTTAGGGGAAGGATGTGTAATAAATAAATAAAAAATAAGATGAAAGACAAGGTATATATTGTAGTAATTATAAAACATGCTTTTGTGAATCTGAATGTGCGTATATATATATATATATATATATATATATATATATATATATATATACGCACATACACACACACACACATATATATATATATGGAGTTCTGCGGGGCAGATATGTGGATGAACAGGTGGGGAAAAGTCAAAGTTAGCGAAGGGGAAGCAGCAGGCCACATCATCAGTGCTGCAGGTCTTCTCATCAAGAATGCATCTCTAGTCCCAGAGAATCCGCGCTGAGGCGCACAGATAAACAGAGAGGATGGAATAAGGTTTAATAAAATACAGGTAAATGGCCTGAGCAATCTGTTGAGAAAGTGCTCGAGAAAAAAAAAAAGAAAAGAAAAAAAACATTAAAAGCAAGTGAGTGGACCTTGACTTGGTAGATTTAAAGAAGAAAAAATGAGCCATGAAGGAAATGAGCAATTACTTCCACTGTCTTTACTTCTTTTTTCAATGTTCCATTGTTAAGTTGTGTTGTTCTTTTGTTCGGTACATGATGCACTGTGTTCACAAAAACTGAGACTATTTTTTAGCTGCTCTTTAAGACACCAGGTCAGTTGGACCCCACAGCTTTTTACTCTGTCCCCAGTCTGGTCGCGTGTGCTTTTTGTAAGGTTTATTTTTTGTGTGTCGAAAACGACTACTTTAATAGCCAAACTTGCTGTTAAATTAAAGATTATGGGATGTACGTCATATTTTTCCTCTGACTACATTTTTGAAACCAGGTTTACACAACTGCAAAACACAGTATAAAAGCACATATTCAAAAAGGTTGGAATGAAACACAGCTTAACGTAATGTATATCTCATGGTAGAGCAGCTAGTGGAATATATATGGATATATGTGGCCACTAATTATAAAGGTTTAAAAATATCCAAGCAGAAAAATATTCAAATGTCAAGTTTGTGCTGAATTGCGGTACCTAAATACGACTTCCTAATATTTTCCTCCCGTATGCAGTAAAATGTGGTGTATATGGGTTATGAACCCGATACTGTAAGGTAATGGTTCTTTTGGATCTCTGAACAGAACAAAATCCCATCAACTGTCAAATTTACCCACAGAACCAAACTAATTACAAGTTATAAACCCAGAGAGGTTCTTCCATGGTGTAATTACATTATGCTACAGTTCTTCAAAGGGAACAATGAAAGCATTTTACTATTTCCATAAAAAGAACTCAAAATAAGGGCACAGAGATTAGGTCACATATGTAGAGGCACTAACGAGTGTCAGAGGGTCACAATGTGGAGGTGGATTTGTTCGACGTATTCACTTAAGAATAAAAGAAAGTAACAGGACCACATCACTCCTGACGACTAGATGTTGGGTTTGAATTATTTTCTCCACTGTTCCATCAACTTACCTTTTTTTGTTCTGGTCTTATTGTGTTAAGTTTTACTGTGGAGAAATTTATCGTATCGTTTGCCATTTATCGTGATAAATTTCTTCCAAATTCCAAATCGTGATTGAACAACAACACAACTGTCCACACTGTCAGGTTTGCTATTATTATTTACAATTTTCTCCACTCCCTGTTCAATAAGAGTATCAATAAATTTGAAAATGTGATGAAATGAAGTTACTGTGTGAAGTTTGGTGATACAAATCAGACTATGTTATGTGACTGGTGTCCTAAAGAAGCCAATTACAAGAGGGAATGTTTTCAAAGATCAATATTTGTGTTTTGTGGGGCTATGATTGCTGTGTCATACAATAACAGTCATACAGTTACCTAAAAAAGAAGCAATACATACAAAATATAACAAAACAACATATCACCCACCTCTAATGGAGACCATCTTTTTCAGTATCGGGGGTTTGCTGGAAGATACATTGTCCCAGACGTTGTGATAGTTATATTGATATTATTATTGTTCTTTTGAGAACATTTTCAAGTAATATAACGGTAATGGCATAATAACATGTTATCAAAAATCAATAAACTTTAAATTCTAATGAACATTTAACACTGGAACTGGAAGACATTTTAGATATCCAAAATACATAAACAAAACAACAGAAGCAACAAATAAAATGAATTATGAAGAAAGAAAAGAGAAAAACGATAAATTATTGAGATCTTGTTAAATATTGTTATTGCAATAGGTCTATTTGTGTCATTTAGCAACTCTGTCAAAGCCAAATACATATAAATACCGACATATTTAAATAAAGCTACTTGCTGTGGCTGGTGTTGTCTTAGAAACCTATGCTATGACGCATTGCTGCGTTTTTTTGTTTTTCACATGTTTCAGCTCACCTCCTGCAGAATCACCTGAGTGATGAGCTGCTGCTTCTCAACTCCGTTTCCAGCAGCTGAGACGATGCTCAGAAGTCACTGTATGATTGTTTCTGTCCGGAATAACAAGGAAGGTCAACAGTTAATTTAGCATTTCAAATTACTTAAATAATACGTCGACACGTCAAACAAAAGGCTTCTGTTTAGTTGACAGTAGCCAATATATTTAACAGCTCTGTTGCAGATGTACAACGTGCAACAATTTTGTAACATCAGCTAATTAGTTAATTTTCCAGATCAATTCCAGGATTTTAGGTAAAAGCAAAGTTTAGCTCAAACTATTAGCTACCGAAGTTTCTAACCTGTTAAAACTACAAATTTTACAACATTTCCAGACAAACTATTAAAGTGAACTGTTAATTTGTGCATGTCTAATGCCACTGTATCTGTGGAGCATGCTTATTACTAAGATAAATTTAGAAAACTTACTAACCAAACTGCGACTCAGCCGCGTTAGCTGGTTGCATCCATGCATTAGCGATGGATTAGGTGGATTTAGTTAAATCCTACAGGATGTTCAGGGCCTTAGAGATTTTATTTATCCATCCCCTGACTTATACTTTTCAATAACCTTTTCTCTGATTCGCTTTGAGTCTTCTTTTGTCTTCATGCTATAGTGGTAGCCAGGAATACTGATTTACCAGTGAATGGACCTTCCAGACACTTCCAGCTACAATCACTTGAGACACAGCTACTCTGCTCAGATGATCTCCTTTCTATCACCAACTGGCTTTTAAATAAGGTCAGTTCACTTTAAGAGGATGACTATTTATGCAATCACTTATTTTATGCTACATATTTCTATTAAATTGTCATTATTTTGTACAAATGACACTGAAGGTGATTATGGTTGGTTTGTTAAAACAATGAAAAAGATTAAACATTGAAGGAGGTGTGCACATTTTTAGTCTGTAAATGAAGCACTTTATAGGTAAGCTAGAAAATTGTAATTATTTTGCAACTTTTCAACAGTGGAACTAAAATGATTTTAAAAAATTAACAAAAAACAAACAACACGTGAAGGTAAATTACGATCAGAACATGTTTTTAAAAGCAAAGAATTAAGTGACAGTAAAAACTTTTAAAAGCCTGAGAAATAGTGGAAACTGCAAAAAAAAAAAACAAGTTGTACAAATGGAACAGCAATCCAAAAAATAAAAAAATATTTTTTAATGAGGTAAAAAGCTGCTTTCAAACGACAGCTTTCAAAGAAAAAAAGAAATGAAACTCTTAGTCTCCAATTTAAGTGCCTGAAACTCTGGAAAGCACATTTAAGCCTGCTGTCTGGAGGTGGAGTTCTTTAGGATAATAGCGAGAAGTAATTACCTCTTTCAGGCACGATGGACCCAGTTATTGCATGACTTTATGTGGAATTAGGGCTGTTCGATTGCTTTTCTGTATCTGCTTCACCCTTTTTCAGTGTCTGCAGGGGGCTTGTAAGGGGCAGGTTTGCAATGCTGTTGATCAGCGGAAATATTTCTATGGCACTTTTACAGCACTTAATTAACATAATATTACAGGAGTCAAAATGGCAACGGACGAGCCAGAGAGATCATCATATTCTGATACAGCTCTTATTGTCTCAATGCAGCAAAGATATGAAACTCTATAAGCTTAGAGGAAGATTTGTGTTACTGCAAAATAAGAGCTTTGAAACCACTGAAGCTGCGTCTCCATTACAAATGTGCACAAAACTTTGTCAATATTCCACCAATGACAAACCCCCCACACCATTTTGCACTTGCGGTGTTTCCATTAAATACGAAATGCAATTAAATCACATGTCAATAAGTTTGTTCAAGTCATTAGAAAACATGCCACACCGTCATCCTACCAACTACTTCCTGTCGTCTTCTTCTTCGTGGGTTTGCAACATCCGGTTGTTGACCATGTGATGTGATAAAAGTGTTTCCATTGCTGTTTGTGAAATAAACCAATTTCTATACAGTCAAAAAAGGAAGGAAAAAAAAACACCTCCTCCTAGTCCCAAACTTTTTATTGAAAAGCACTGTTATTTAATTTGTACAGATGTAGGACTGTATTGTGTATCACTTACAGATCTGATTTATAGAATATTAAAGCTGATCATTTTTCATTCTGCAAGGGAAGACAAATTGCAACTTTAACAGTATTTTACAATATTTTTTCTAAGCCGCTTTTTGAGTTTAACAGCCTACTTTCCCAGGTTTGCATGAATACGGTGCATCAAAAATAATAGAACCCAGTGCCACTGTTCAGATAAAAAAAAAACCACATTCTTGTTTTATTTATTAAGGACTATTATTAAGTCAAAATAACAGCAAGCCAACCAAAAGCTTATCTTAATTCATGGCACTAATAAGAAGATAAATGTGCCTTAGAGGTGGAAAGATGTTGAGAATGAAACTGCAGGAAGCAAATAATTGATTAACTGTGAAACAGCTTGAATTTCAAACCTCATTTATAAATTGTTAATCTCTAAATAAGGTTTGTGCATACAAAAAAAGTCACAATTTAAAATTGGTAAACAAAAGTAAAACAATCCAAGTTACTCCAGTTCATTGTCTGTCCATCAGAATTAAGCCTGGAATCAAAACCACCCTGCGAGAATCCACAATCTCTTGTTCCTAATGAGGTTCGTCTCTTCCAAGCTATCCTGAGATGTCTGCTTGACGCAGACATTAATTAATTCAAAGAGTTTGACACAGTCTGATGATTCTCTTGCTGTTGCTATCTGTAAATAAACTGGAGAGGAAAGACAGAGTACATTTTACTTTGACTGTGTCATTTTGCCTCTTCCTGCGCTTTTATTTTGTTGATCTTAAACAGCAGAAACTGTAACTCTGATTGGAGAAACTGAACATCAGGTATGAGTCAGCAGCATACAACCTGCCGTGGTTTCTCTTGAAAAGCAACCAGCGAGAACTATTCTACAGCTCAATGTGTGTCAAAAATAATATTCAGTTGTGAAAATGGTTTAATTGGTTTTAAAAACCAACCAACCACGTCCTTTGTGTTCTAATATTGTCTCGCTTTGTTTGCAGCTTCACTGCTGCAAACAGAGTAAGCAGGTTGACTAACGCTGCAGAACTGTGAAAATCATCTGACTGACTGAAAAACATGTCTTGGCCTTGTTGAACTTCGCCAAAGAACTGGACCTCGAGAACAAGCGAAGCGAAGAACTGTTAACGTATTCATATGGATACATTTATTGAACCAATGTGATACATTTTGACTTAAGACTTTGTATTGATTTCTCGTGAACTCTTCTATGATCATAAACGTCAGGCTAGCAGCTGTGTGAACACTGCATTTCATTGCATGTCATATCTGTTTATGGAAAAGTCACACAAGATTGGCTTCAGTATTTATGTTCTTGTTTGCCTGACTAGATATATTTTATATATACATATGAAGAACAAGTAAGAAAAGTGGATGAGCACTTACTGAAGGTCAATTGGAAACATCAATACACTTTACCATTGCCTGGCATGGTTTGATGCTCCATCAATGCATCTTTTCAAGAACTTAGAAATACAGTTTGGTCCAGTTTTGGGTAAAGATCTGGATACCCAGAATAACCTGGAATCAGAGCCGTTCAGATTATAACCCTGGATCTGATCTGGTCTTGTTAATCAAATGGCTTTTCTGCTGGCTGTTGCGTGACTTGTGTGATGTGAAAAAATTTTAGTTTTGCAAAATAAATAAATTTACATACAGCCGAAATACCACTTAATCCTAACGCAAAAAAGTTTTATCAGCAAATCACATCGTACTAACTGAACTGTCACTCGCTGTGATTCTTGCCTGTAAGTTTGGCGGATGGAGAACTGCTGGTGAAGACTTACTGGAGGTGTTTTTTTAAGAAAGAACTCCCACTGCCTCCTTTCAAAGAACAGCATGCAGTCTTCTCTTTCAGCAATGGCTCTTAAAGCTTCTCTTTAAGAGCAGAAGTGTGTAATAGACTACCTCCCCGGCTCTCGCCAACAAAGACAGCTTACTTGAATCTAAGAGAGCAAACAAGAAAAGAGAATACAGATGATAATGAAAGTCCTGAGCTATTTCCTAACGTATTTAAGAAGCATTAATCAAATCAAATTGTATATTTTTCTTGAGATTCTGAACAGAGTCCTCGGTGCTATACAAAGACAACTGCAGAGAGACATTTAAGTGCTTTAAAGGTCTTTGGGACAATTACAAGGAATAATTACCTCATTCAGACATGATGGGGACAGTTAATTCATTGCATTGTCTGAAATTAGGATTGTTCAATTACTCTTGTGTACCTTGGCAATGTAGGTTGACAATGTTATTGATCAGCTCAAAGCAGTATTTCAGGAACGGGGCAAGAAGAACTTAGAGAAAATCCATGATCCAAAATTCCAAAAATAAAAAGAATAATTTTTTTCTTGAGCGCAAAGAAAACTGTCTCTGTTACTTCAGCAATGAGTTAGTTTCCTGCCTACAGGTCGTCTAAAACAAAGCTGCTTATGATCTTTTCTCACATTGCCCTGGATCTCATGCCTTCACTGACTGAAGGTCCAATTCAGAGATTAGCACAGAATCCTCCTCATTCAGCAGGGAAACGCTGTCAAGAGTCATAAGGAAGCAGCATCCTGCAGTCAACAAGCCTGTACCGCAAGACATTCCCATCATAAACCCACAAGGAGCTACAAAGGGTTTGCAGAAAATTTAGTTCCTTCCTCCTGATAGAACTGCTTTAACCAAGTCAGGTCTACAAAAACACCAATTACCTTGGCTCCTACCTAGATCAATAATCTAGTAACTCCATGCGCTCCCTCTACACCTCCAAGGTCCTACTGATTTTTCCTTAATCTTATAGACAGAGATGGTGGCTTCACAGGCTTCCTCTGAACAAAGGGAAGGCCTGATAAACCTTGTGCAACATATAGAACCACCATCTGCCTTGGAATGTGAGATATATATATATATATACACACACCTTTTTCAAATCAATAGCCATATGCAGTCTGATGCAGATGTTTGATAATGCTCAACATTCTCCGGGTTGGTTTCTCTAACAACCAAAAAGGCAAGGCAGCATCACAGAATATGGCCATAAGAAGAATCACGAGTCTACTTCTGCATGTTGCCAGTGTGAAATATGACAGAAACTATTCTTAGAGATACATTTGATGTGATTAGCTACAAGCCCTGAGAACTGATACCATGATGTCACTTTGTTTTTGCATTTTTAATATACTTATATTAAAAACATGACAAAAGCACATAGAAATAAAAATGTACAATTTAATCTACATGACCCACTTTTACTGAACAGAATTTTATTAAAATCTTTTTCAGTAGCCTTATTTATCTTTCTAAGTGAAATGACAGAACTTGTCTTCTACTTGCAACAAAAAGTAGAAGACAGAATTTGTTGATATGTTGTATCTCATATCTACAACTATGAGATACATTTGAATTATTTATTCATTTTATTTTATTTTATCTAAGAGCTACATTAGACATAGATGACTTAGCAGGGGAGGTATAGCACTAATTAGCTGCTCTGTTTAGGCTAAATTTAGGCAAAAGGAGATTAAACTTTTGGGTCTGAGGTTTAAGAGGCACACGAAACTCCTTTTGTTTGTTACCTGACTGGTTCGTTCACCTGGCCAGGGCTGCACCCGACGGCGGAGGAAAGGAGAGAACAGAAAAGACAAGGTGTTCACATGCTGCATGCACCGCCTCTGAGCCCACCTGTTGGCCTCGCGCGCAGCCATCTTGATGTTGAGAGAGGCTCGCGGCGGGCGGGCCACGTCCTGTTTGCGCGCGCGAGAGAGAGTGTGTAAGGGCGCGCGGTTCCTGGAGCTCACGCTGCCCAAAACGAGAAACCGCCAGGGGCAGCAGCCCATGACGCCGCCCATATCAGAAACCTCTACCCGGAGCGTCATTATTTGTGTGTTTAAACAAAGAAGTAAAACATTTCCGGTGTTTTCATGTCGTCCAGCTCCAACATGCTAAAAATGTAGATGTTATGACTCTTGACAATTGTTCTGAGATTAAACAGTAAAAAACATGTTGATTAAACTTATTTTCTATTACTTCCTTCGACATGGAAATAGTACCAGCTGGACAAAAATAAAAATATTTTATGTTTTTTCATGATGAAAAAAAAAGTCTCTATAAGTGGCATAGGAATACAATTTACAGAGAAATCTTATTTCTCCAGACTTCTGGAGTGCTGGAGTAATTATTGTCCTGTATAGAGATTCTGCCTTTTGTGCTCTGTTTCTGCTTTCTTTGCCGTAAGGAAATGGGGGTCATCTGGAGAGAGGAAAAGAAGGGAGGATTCGGATGTGAAAAGAGGGAAAACCTCTATCACTCTGTGATCTCAATATCTGTGAAAGAAGGAGATGGAAAGGTACCGTTAGTAATTTAAGGTAAAAGGACCTATTCAAAGAAAGTGCCGGTAGTCTTCTGCCTCCAGTCACTCTTTCATAAAACCTTCTGATTAGCCTGTATTCAATAGTATTTTATTTATTTATTTATTTATTTATTTATTTATTTATTTATTTATTTATTTTCTTTCAGTGTAGATGAGGTGCGTTTAGTAGGGTTTAACAATAATAGAGTTCAAAAATGGAATCCACTGGAGAGCTGCTCACCAAAGGTAAGAAGCAGACCAGAAAGTTCACTTCTGGATTTCCTAATTTCAATAAACATAGTGGATTGGCCTATTCAAAGTCTGGACCTCAATCCAATGAGATGCTATGTGGATTTTAACTTTGGTCAGTTGAAAACGATGTTTTATGTTTGCTAAGTTATCTTTATCCGATGCTAAACTTCACTTGATGGTAGAAGATCTGTAAGATTGATGAGACCAGACCAGAAAGTCTGGAAGAGGACAGACGTTTTCTCATGACACACACTTTAGACATTTGTATTCATAAAAAGTCTGAGATGAACTGATGACCTGTCCAGGGTGACCCCGCTTCTCTCCCGTTGACCCCTGGAGATGGGCACCAGCACCCCACGTGACCCCACAAGGGGATAATGGATGGATTCATAAAAAGTGCTAGATATTCCTCCTCCCACTTTATAATCATGTAGGGAGGGTTTATGTTGACGCGTCTTTTTGCATAATTCATCTTTTGGTAATAAAAAAGGGACTGATTTTTAAGCAAAAATTACTTTAGACTAAAATTGACTTAAACCTTAATTTCAAGAAGGCGACGATATGAAACATCTAAGATAGATAAAACAAAGTTAAATTTCTTCTCTGCTGAAAGTATTTAATATCCAGCGGAGAATCCTCAGACACCCCAACAATGTAAGCCCTTACTGTAACCTAACATGACAAAAAATGTTTAAATAAATATTTTTCCCCAGGGTTGGTGTTGAATAATGCACTGCTCAGCATTGTACTGACTCCATGTGCTGCACTGGATGTAGGCGTCACAGTGGCTGCAAGGCGGAGAAAAAAGCACTGCAGGAAAACGAAGGCATGTGGTGGAGGGAAGATTACTTCATTTATTTTATATTAGAGAGAGTGTTATCATCAAAGCACAGCGATTGTCTGAATACAGACGGTAATTGTTGTTTTAATGGAGGAAATGAAGGGAACACCTAAAAGCACTCCAGCGATCATGAAACCATTACAACGAAAACACCAATTATTATACTTTATCGACAGCAGGCTGTTTTATTTTGTTTTTTTTTTTTTACTGTAAATAAATAAAGCACGACAGCTCAAAAGGTATAAGAATTTACACTTTTATTTTTCCGACATATTTTTGCTGTTTCACATCTCTTATCTGTGAGAACAGCAGAGCTGAATGACTAACAGGTTCTCCGAAAACAAGATTCAGGCATCTTTGTGTTCCAAATCCTTCATTTCTTGGAAAAGCAGCGCATTACTGCTGGAGATTCTTGTTACTCCAACACGTTGACCTTGAAAGGAGCCCGACTCCTGTTGTGTCTTTTATCCGGGACCCTGGAAACTCGATTTTCTGTTGCATAATAATAATGCCTATCAAAAACAAAAGCAACTTTTCACTCCTTTGAATTTGGAAATGCTAGTCTTCACACTGCGTGCATTGTCTCTGAAATAACAACAGTCAACAACAGGGAACAACAGGGAATGAAGTCAAGTTGAATTTTACCTCCTTTAGATCCCGGCTGACCTCATTTAGAGGCGGACAAAACCAGACTCAAGCAATTCGACAAATACAGACAATAACGAGATTACAATGGCTCTCTTTGGTTTTTGTAAACAGGAAGGGGGAAAAATGAAAAGTGTGAATTTCTGTGAACAATCATTGTCTGGGTAATTCTCCACAATAAGCCTCTCTTAACTGAATTGCATTTCTATTTCTCTTGTTTTTTTATTGAGTTTATTATAATTACATATATGTTTGCTGTTTAATCAGTAGAATATCCAGATGTGCTTCACATGAATTTGATTTTAACAGAAATCTTTAAAAACTTTTGTTGCATTTTTTTTCCTCTTAAAATTCACTGTAACATTTTTGTGAGACATTCTCCTTTGCGAGAACAAAATCAAAACATCAATGTTTTAAAGTATCAATTGTGAGGACAAAACTGTGATATTGTACCTCAGAGGTATTGCATTTAGGAAAAAACTAAATTCGGATATTCTGCGCCTACAGCACAAGCATAGCATGCGAGAGGGCATAGCCAAACTGATCACTTCTTGTCCAGGGAGAGCAAAAACACAACAAATGCCTAGAAAAGTGAAATGTAATCATTAAATTGTTAATGAGATGCATGCATTTATAGACTCATTATGAAATGTTTGGATTAAAGGCAAAACACCAACTATAAATCAAGACGTCGCAACGCTGCAGTAATTTGATTTAAAGAATCTTCCAACTTGTACTTTTTGTTCCTTATAGGGGCAGCATCATGAAAATCGACAATTGCTTTTTAACTTTACATCATGTTATAATGTTATTCCCTCATCCTCTTTGGAGCTGCAGTTCCCACAGAGCAGCCCTCCCAGGTGACTCCCCCACTCAGCTCCTTCAGACTAGCCAGCAGCAATTAGCAAACACCTGGTGGAACTGAGCATCTGCTGAGCTCATTATAGGAGCTACTTCTGAGTGAAACGCAGGTTAAAACGTTGTTAGCAGGTTAATGGATGTTGTGATCACTCTTGACGGCGGAGTGTAAGAAAAAGCAAGACTTTCTTAAAGAGACAGAGCCCCAATTTCAAGGCAATAAACTACAAAGTCAAATTTCTTTTAAGTCATACTTGACATGACAGCATTTTTATTACAACTGAAGGTCTCATAGTTACTTGATTGTACTATAAATTGATTATATGAATCTCCCCATTAAAACTTATGTGATTGTACTTGTAACATGATAACATTGGCTGTCTGAGAAATGAATTATATGAACATTAAATTGCTACAAACAGTTACGGCTGTTTGATTTGATATAAATACAAGTGCTGAATTTCATCCATAATGAAAATGAAGCTTATGTAACTGTAGATTAACTATGAAATGCAGCAATTAATAAATCAGTGTGATCACGTGTGAATGTGTGAACAATGCGCTGAAGCAGGTGTTGTTCTGCACAAACCAATCAAAAGGAAAATGAGGAGAGAGCTCCCTGTAGGAGAGGCTGAGAATTCAAACGCTGCAGACGTCAGTCTTAGAGACCTGACAACACTACATGTTAATATAAGAACAGACTGCTAAGATTACTTAACCTGTTTCTAGTTTCAAACACTTTGGCAACAAGAAATCTAAAGTTATTTCATCCAAATACAGCTATATTTTTTAAACAAACAGATAAAAAATTGTCTGGGGTTTTTCAACTGTTTTAGGGTTATTTTGATGAGCTGAATCCAAAAATCACATTGGTTTTACTCCATCAGGTCAACTTTCAGAACTATGGAGCAACATGAGGGTCAAAATGCATGACTTGTTCTCACATCTGGATCAGTTTCCTGTGAAACTGGATCAATGAGTGATGAGCAGGAGGAGAACCTCCATCAGGACAGGAAAGAGATGGAGACGTAATGTTCACTTCCCATGTACTTACCTGAATTTCACATGAAATCCAGGTTTGTAACATTGAATTAATAATCTATGTTAGAAAACAAGGGTTTTTTTTTCCTAAAGCCTTTTTTGGATGAGAAATATTAACAGAAATGAACTGATGTCACAAAAATGTAATCAGTTTAGTCAGAAAATCAGATTTCTCTAAATCAAATAAGAATCAAAATCTGACCTGACTGAGAAAAATGGATGTCATTTTTTGATTCAGCAGTGCAAAATAGTCCTAATTCAGTAAAAAAAAAAAAAAAAAAAAAAAAAAAACACACTTCCAAAAAAAAATTGTTTTTTTAACTCATTTTTTT